TGTTACTGTGACATGAGCATAAATATGGGCTCTGTTGTTTCTGCTGGCAGTTATTAAAGTTGATGTTACATATGTTAGGATTCAGACATTAATCTGATCAACACGGTCAGAGCTGCATTTTCACAGACATGTGTGCGGTGTGTATGGCCCTGGGAGAGAAAAAAGCTCTCTCTGTGTGCACACTGCTGAGAAAAGTCACGCAGACACGTTTTAATTACAAACTAATTGTCATGCAGAGCAATGCATAACTGCAGTGTTTCAGCACAAGTGCAGTCATACAGCCATGGAATCTTGAGTTTAATAAATACGCAGCATCACAGGCCATAAAGCTAACATTTATGGACGTAACATGGTTACTATGTAACTTGGGTCGGATCTCACTGTGAATCATGTTCACAGTTTCGGTCAGCAGTTCTGCTCTCCTCTGGATCAATCCTGCCTCCGTCTAAGCTGCAGATGTATTTATAACCCTGACTTTAACTTTACTAAGAAAAATGTCTGAGTGAGAGAAGACACATCAGGAAGGATAGAGCTGCGAGCAGCACGGAAGAAGTGATGAAGACTTCATGTTAGTTAGCCTCCGTGCTGAAACAGCGATAGAAGCAGAAACGTGTGCATCAGGTGCACAGCGGTCATTAAACAGCACTACACCTGTGGTGATGAACCAGCTAAATGATGAGATAAACTTTAAAATGTGAGAGAAAAAACAACCACACCCCTCTGTGGTGACGTGGTTGTATGACATCCAATATATCAGGCAAGTCTTGAGCAATGTGCACATGATATCACACAAGAATCCTGAATAAAACCAAAAGGTTGGGTTTTTTTTTAAACCAAATGTATTGCCCTCTGGTGGTCATAAAAGCAGAATGCAACTTTAAACGTTACACATATAAAGCATAATTTACATACAAAAACTGACAGATGTAACTTTGTTTGTGAAGCAGGATTTAAGAAATAAATGCTTAAAGTTAAAAGTTGTTTAGAGCCATCTTCTGTCAGTGATGTCATGTGGTTGCCATTTGTGTTGCCCCTGGCTGCAACAATGAGTTTATGTTAAACTGAGGATATACTGTCCACTTGCACTGTCTGTCTCTATAGCAGTAAGCGGCTCTTTGCTGTTTGGCTAGCTGCACTCAAATTGGAAAATCCAGCCATTAGCCATAATATTCGGGTTTGTGTGGAGGAGAGCCTGTTTGAGCCAGGTGACAGGTGTTTACTTGACCTACACGAACTGATTTTTCTTCCTCTGACCAAGTGTACCAAGCAGCAGAATCAGCTGATGCGATCAGCGTTAATTTATGCAACAAAATAATTTCTGTTCCCAAAAACATCCAGACAGTTTACAACATAACAGCCCACTACATCCACAACAAAGCACAAATTTAACTTTTTTTTTTTACTGAAGCACAACTGGGAATACCATCAGCACGTCTGCATCGAAAACAGGTGGATGTGAAAAAAACCCAAGAAAGTGGAGCCTCTGAGGAAGAGATGCCACACTTTTTGGTGACCCTTTGTTTCTTCCTCACATCATCTCACTGACTGGATTACTTCATATTAGAAGTGAGGAAAAGCAAAGCCCAAATACACTACCAGTTAAACGTTTGGACACACCTTATTTAATGTTTTCTTTATTTTTATTACTGTTGACACTGTGAGAATCTACAGTGTCAACAGATGGTGGTGGTCATAAAAGCAGAATGCAACTTTAAAGAGGACATGAAACGTTACACATATAAAGCATAATTTACACCACTGAGGCATCAAAACTATGAATAAACACATGGAATTATGTAGTAAACAAAAAAGCGTGAAATAACTCAAAAAATGTTTTATATTTTAGATCCTTCGTAATAGTCCCCCTTTGCTTTGATTACTGCTTTGCACACTCTTGCCATTCTCTCGATGATCTTCATGAGGTAGTCACCTGAAATGGTTTTCCAACAGTCTTGAAAGAGTTCCCAGAGATGCTGAGCACTTGTTGGTTCTTTTGCCTTTACTCTGCGGTCCATCTCATCCCAAACCATCTCCATTGGGTTTAGGTCAGGTGACTGTGGTGTCTGTGCGGGATTTATCAGGGCTCTGATCTGAGGTGCTGTTAACTTGTGATTTCTGAGCCTGGTGACTCGGGTGAATTTATCCTCAGCAGCAGAGATGACTCCTTTGTCTTCCTTTCCTGGGGCGGTCCTCATGTGAGCCAGTTTCATCATAGTGCTTGGTGGTTTTTGTGACTGCTCTTGGAGACACTCAAAGTTTTAGCAATTTTCTGGACTGACTGACCTTCAGTTCTTAAAGTAATGATGGACTGTTTCTCTTAGCCGATTGGTTCTTGCCATAATATGAATTTTAACAGTTGTCAAAGAGGGCTGTCAGCTGTATACCAACCTGACTTCTACACAACACAACTGATGGTCCCAAACCCATTAAGAAGGGTGAGACACAAATGAACCCTGACAAGGCACACCTGTGAAGTAAAAACCATTTCAGGTGTCACATCATGAAGCTCATTGAGAGAAGGCCAAGGGTTTGCAGCACTGTCAACAAAGTAAAGGGTGGCTTCTTTGGAGAATCTAAAATATAAAACATTTAAAGTTATTTATCAATTTTGTTTTTGCTACATTTGATGTCTTCAGTATCTACAATGTAGCCAGCTGATTGCATGGCTTGGTACACCCAACCTGATGAGGAAAAGCTGGATTGTGAGACTCCAGCTTGTCACTCTGGTGGCTCAAACAGGCTCTCCTCCACACAGGTCTCGTTTCTAAAGTGCTTTACGAACCCGAATATTAATGCTAATGGATTTTCCCATTTGAGTGCAGCTAGCCAAACAAGTTTCAACAATCAGTTTAACATAAACTCATAGTAACACAACAATTAGTTTTTAGTTTCCTTATTTTCCTCTGCGTTATCAGTTCTGTCCTAACCTAAACTAATGTCTATTACCTGAAACCAACCAACCACATGCTGTCATGTTCCATACTGACAGAAGATGGTGCTAAACATATTTTTAAAACGTTATATTTCATCGCTTATTTCTTAAATCCAACTTTACAGACAGTCACATCTATGTCAGTTTTTGAGAGCAGGTCTCCATGATGGGAATTAGCCTATATATGTGGAACGCTTCATGTTCTCTTTAAGGTATTTCTTGATTCGTCCATGTCTGCTGCAGACAGTGGATTTTAACAGCAAAAAAAAAAAATTATCACGATGACCCTAATCCTGTCCTGTCAGAATATGTAATATTTTAAAAATTGTTCTCTTAAATCTCAGCAATCAGGGAACAACAAAAGTCTTTCTACCTCATACAGACTGAAAAGTCTTTTTAGAGATTAAACATCTGCTACAGATTGAATCATTTCATCTGTGGACGAGGCTTAAAAGAAATGGTTAGGGGGTTGGGGTCATAACAGATGAAGACCTCACAGAGTTAAACCAACCTGAATCACAAGGTGACCCTAAGCTGGATAAGAAGCTAAGAAGATGAATGTTTGGATGGCAGAATATGCAGGTTTATCCAAGAAAATAGAAACTTCGATCTGGTATTAAGTGTACGGTTATATATGTCAGTTTAGCTGGTCAAAACACCACAAGTTGTCCATAATTTTGCTCTGAATCACTATCGTTGAGCTAAAAAACTTTTTAGCAACGCTACGTTAATTATAATTGGTGTTTCAGATGTTTCATAGAGATGTTGATCTCTGTGGACAATCAGGACATGCATAATCAATCAAATAAGTTATCTTGTTTAACTGAAACATAAACTTTCTGTAGACAGAAATAAATAACTTTACTGTGAAGCCATGGCTTTAACACCATTTTCCATTCCGATTCTTTGAAGAAACATTTGATTAATATTCACGCACGTAAACCTTCGGCCGTCTTTCGCACTTATAAAGCTCTGAAATAAAATCACCTAGTTTCTTTTTAAACCTAAATGTCTGTGACGAGATTTAATCTCATGTCGGTCCATTAGTAATAAGTACTATCATTCACACACAAAAACAAAACGCTCACAACCTCCACCAATCAGACAGCAGCACACACAAACAAACAAACATGCTGAGAATCACTATAGCAACCAAACCATCACACCAGAGAGGCAAGAAATATACAATCTGAATTCGACTGCCAACATGGCCGCCATCACAGAATCCATAACTGGAGGGGTTGGGTTCTGCTGCTGGGTTCTTATTTGTCGCAGGGTTATGGTTTGTCGCAGGGCTACGGTTTGTTGGAAGGTTAGGGTTTGTTGGAGAGTTCTTGTTTATTGGAAGATTTTTGTTTGTCGGAGGGTTCTTGTTTGTCGCAGGTTTAGGGTTTGTTGCAGGGTTCTTGTTTGATGGAGGGTTAGAGTTTGTCAGCGGGTTCAGGTTTATCAAAGGGTTCTTGTTTGTCGCAGGTTTAGGGTTTGTTGGAGGGTTCTTGTTTGTGACAGGGTTCTTTGTTTGTCGCAGGTTTGTTGGAGGGTTCTTGTTTGTCATAGGGTTCTTGTTTGTTGCAGGGATCTTGTTTGCTGCAGGGTTAGGGTTTGTTCGGGTGTTTCAAAAATTTACTGTTTGAGTTTGTCTCTGTGCTTTGACTTTGAGCTGTTTATTGAATGAGTTCCTTTCTTCTTAGAGGCTCAACAGAGTGGACAGCATCTCTTCGGCACAGATGGAGGTGTTCCTTTCTGGATCACAGAACAATTGGGTCAGTCTGTGTCAGTCTAAAGAAGTTTGTTATTGGATTCCTTCAGGATTAATACTGTCCTTTAGCCACAGCCTGAATCCTTTCTAAAGTTAAAGTCACTGAACAGGAAACTGAATGGGTGGAAGAGCAGAGGTACCCCAGCACCATCACTGACCAAAAACAGTGAGATCATCTGATAAATGTGAACAACACCTCTGTCTCTGTTTATAACCACTGAATCCATCCTTCTTGGGATGATTTATTTGGATAGCAACTTATCTCAAGAATAATAATAATAATAATAATAATAATAATAATAATAATAATAATAATAATATGGTCCTCTGTGGTGGGTTCACTTGGAAAAATAAATAGTTGCAATAGCATTGATGTCCTCCTAGACTCTCTGAGAGGTAAGATGTCTTTTTGTGAAGAGAAACTGTCCAAGTGTTGAGCTCCTAAACCTTGAGCTCATCATCTCCTGGGTGGAAACCTCTTCTCACAGCTTGTTGCTTGCATAGCATCACGCTCCTTGTTGCCAACCAGGTTTTGTGCTGTTAGTGACCAGTTTCAGAGTAAGGCTTTTATTTTGAAAGGTAACAGGCTAATCTTTGAACCTCCGTCCCTGCAGACTCTTATAATAGTTCTCCTGCTCAGTCTGGTTACGGATCTCTCGATCCAACAGAACCAGTGCTGTCTTGCGCCTCATGGCCATCTCCCTGCGCTGAGCATCTGATGACATCTCTACCTGCTGGTGAGGTGGGCTTGAGGATATGGTAGGGTCGACAGTGGCGCATGGTGAGGCAGAGCGGCGTGGGTGGAAGCTGCTGCTGCTGCGGCTGGCCGAATCTCCTCGATTCAGGTTAGAGAGGTTGTAGGTTTCTCGTGGGTCTCCCCCATTGGATGCCCCCACCCACTCCCATGGGTTACCATTACCTGATGGGGGCTGGGCCTGGGGAGGAAGCGGGACTTGGACAACAGGATAGTGGGGTGCATGGGCATCCACTGTGATGATACCTGGCCCCTCCCGTGGTTGCTCAAAGGGGTGGCGGTAGTGTGGCGAGTCGGCAGCGGAGGAGATGGCAGAGCAGGTGGATGTGGTTTCGGAGGACTTCTCCCCAGAGGACGAGGACGGCAGGAGGCCCTGCTGCTTGGACATGGCAATGACTTGCATGAGTCGTGGCTGGTTGGCAGCACCACGCCCGGACGCCTCCCCGGTTGTCTTCTCCCGGATGGCGAGCCACTTGGCTCGGGTTAGGGCGCTTTTTGGAGAAACCGGTGGGGGTCCTGCTTCTGGGATCTGTGGGGGTCTGGGTGTTGCCACAGCTTTGGCCCCCCCTGGAGGTGGAGTGGGGTTGCGACTTGCGTTTGCCCTGGCATGCACTGCAGGCTGGTAGATCGGGGCTTGAGAACCGCCATCGTCAGTCCCCACAGAGCCTACCTCCGAGCCGTCTTCACTGGTTTCGTGCTCTGCCTCGTCCCGAACACCCATACCTCGCATCTCCATCGACTTCTGCTTCCACTCCGACACCAGCTGCTGTGACCGCATAGGGTCCATGGGCACCTGAACAGCCTTCAGACGGCGCTGCACTGGCTGCACTGGCTGGACCGGCTGCACCGCCTCCTCAGAGGCATCGTTGGCCCCCAGTACACCATTTACATTCATGCTAGCTCTTGGTAGCGTGTTGCTGAAGGTCACCATGGTCTCCTTTCCCATGGGGCTTCGGGGAGCCAGCAGCTCTACATCAACACTGGCCCTCTTCAGACTTCCCATTGAGCCCTTCTCCCTCTGCAGGGGCCCCAGGCCATCCAGCCGGTCCATGGGAGCCGGAGCTGCTGCTATCTCATCGTTACTCTCTGAGGCAGAGGCAGGGCCTTTGTTATAGACTGACTCGTGTCCCCGCTCAGTCAGTGCTCGGAGAGGGTCCGCCTTTAGGGGTGGAGGAGGTGGGGGTGGAGTGATGTCATCAGATGATTTGAAGTTGGCGACAGCGTGAAGGGCCTGACGGAGGAGAATAAAATCTTGTGAGTCTTTGGAGAGTCACAAACCTCAAAAATACTCTGAAACCTGATCTAACCCTAACCTCTATCAGATCAAACCTCAGAGACCAGCACCAAGATCTGTTACATTATTACCAACCTCTTCAAAAACAACCAAATCTCCCGGTTTCAACAACTGAGTCGGTGTCTTTGGATGATATTCTATTAAATCAGGCTTTGAATTATTTGAAAGTCTTAGCTGTGTTTTTCAGGCTGAATGATTAAAGCTGCCTCAGTGACCTTCTGTCTGTATTTTAGGTGCTGTTCAGATGTTTCTTTGTGCTGGCAGGTTTAATATTCCCTCATATTCAGTTTGATATTCAGCCCATCATTTCTTTGTGAAGCTCCTCGGCTGAAGCTTATTGGGTAAATCAAGATTTGAGTCACTTGGAGCTGCAGAGCTGTTGGTTTTTGATCTACCATCAGCCTCCGGTTTAAGCTGATGCAGTCGCCATGACAACACCAACACAAAGCCATGTCCATGACAACAGCTGCAGACTCTGGAGCTCCATCAGACAGAAACACACACCAGATGTGTCCTTTATCTCACCAGGTAGGCGGCGATGAAGGCTCCAATGAGGAAGCCCACATAGACGTCGATGGGGTGGCTACGATGCTGTGTGATCTGAGTCAGGCCAGTCAGCGCTGCAGCAATGGCAAATGCAAACACCAGCACGGGTTTGAGCAGCTTGGTGCTGTCTGAGATGGTCGAATTAAAGTACATCTGACAGGAAACAGAAGCTAACATCAGAGAATGCCATGATACAGCAAATTCAACACATCTTTATCAAGACAAACAAAACTGAGCAGTACAAGCAGACCTGACAAAATTTCCTAAAGACATTTTTTAAAATGTGAACATTGTTTATTCTTATTTATTTTTGTGTAAAATGAATTTATTCTGGGATGGAAAATTTAACTTTAATCCGAGTCTAAAATCAGCTTTTAATTTACATGCGTTAAAAGCAGCATGGCCGACCCAGCATTTCTGGGCTGAACCTGAACTCTGACCACTGGACCTAAAATCACACGAACTTGTTTCTGTGGGAAGGTTTTCTTTGTCGCACTTACAGAAACATAAACAGCAGCAAACGCTGACAGAGTTGCATGCTGGGAAGGAAACGTCTTTCTGTAAGAAGAGGAAGAAAAAAAATAAAACATGTCTCAATGATCAGTCTGAAAACTTCAAACAGCGACACAAACAGGAAGTACGGCAAGCACCTCGCAGCCATGATGGCGTGCTCATCCTGCCCAGAGCAGATGTCTGTGGTGATGTAGGCATTCTTATCACATGACACACCCGCCAGAGTATAGTTAGGTTTGCAGACAGTGAGGAAGAATGGTGCGTGGTACCCCGTGGACAGCTGGATGATGTCAGTGAGCAGCGCGGTCGCACACAGGCCGAACACGTGCACACCTGCAGGAACACTTGACATGTAAGACTGGTGGCAGGTCACAGGGTACAGACAGGTGGATGTTCAGCAGGTTCTGCAGACACAGTCATACCTACGAAACGGACCGTCCTCCTCAGGAAGGAGTTGAAACTGCAGCCGCCAGCGTTGATGCTTCCCTCAGCTCGGCGGAGTTTCAGACGGGACTGCAGGCAGTAGATTGCTCCTTCCACCAGCATAATCTGGGGCACAAAACAAATCCACCTCAGCAGCTTAAAGCAGGACAGGCTGTCCCCGCCCACTTTCTACAACCACCAAACATGAAATACTAGTTTATGCACAGGTGGAGATGTACAGGTGAGGAAACCAAAGACACCAAAGACTTCCAAACGTCTGAGGTATTTTCATTGTTCGTGAGGTCAGAATGGAGAGTCAGAGTATACCCCATCAACCATCCAACCCCACACCCACCCATCCACCAGCAACTAATCACTTACCAACTTACAAACACCTATTAAACCACTCAACAGTCATTGGCCAACCACCAATCACCTATCCAACCAAACAACCAACCATCCACCAATCACTCATCCATCGACCAACCCTTCATTCAGCCGCTCAAAAACTAAACCACCCACCCATCAATCACATATACCAAGCATCACCTCCAGTCATCTTCTTAGCCTCCAATCCGACTAGGCAAGTGCGCCATCACTAAAAACATATTCCTACATAATCAATAAATTCTAATAAATTATGGTACTGAAGCAGCAGGTCCAGCGAAGGCGAGGCTTAGAAGCATCAACAGTGGGATCAGCTCATCTCCTCCATCCACGTACGGCATACTCAAATCTCTGTCGTGGCACCGGAAACCCACTTGAGCCGGCTTCACCACATCGGTCAGCTCCAGGAAGTACAGCGACACCATAGAAGAAGCCACAATGGGCAGCTGCATGCAGAAAAACAGATAAACATCTGTTAATGGGATCATCTGATCCTTGTCGACACGGCAGGAAGTGCTGCCAAAATGTAGCTCTGAGTTTACAGGTAGTGTAAACAGGAAGCAGAATCCTTTCATAGCCTCTGTAAGATAAGCTGACCTCTGTTAGTGAGTGTGTGTGATCGCAAGTTTCAAGTTTGGCTCAGTCATCTGGAAATCATGACCATAAACTCATGATGTCAGTGGGTTTTTTTATTTAGTTTTAGTTTTTGTTTTTTTACAGAGGTCCCGGCAGACATTGTCTCCCCATACACCTCCACATGACCTGAGGTCAGCTGTTGCCCCCTGGTGGTCAGTAAAAAGAGTACAAGTGTAAGAGAACTCAGATTTTACGATTCAGACCCAGAAGCTACATCTATGTTTAGACTGTATGAGGATCTGAAGCAGAAGCGTGTGGTCCATGGGCTCTTCAGATGGTCACTGAGGATTTTCATCAAATACTCGAATTATATTGAAAATTATGTTAATTTGTTCAGGGTTTTTTTTGATCCTCTAAATGAAAATAATTTAATAATAATGGATTGCATTTATATAGCGCTTTTCAGGGCCCTCAAAGCGCTTTCCAAACAGTTCATGCAGAACTTTTATTAAATGAGTTGAATTAAAGCGGAAAGTCTGAAATTCACATGCTGTTTGATTTGAAAAATAGCGCGGTGGACCTGACTGTAGGTACGGTCCTCTGTGTCATGTGACCATTTGTTTGTTTGTTGCTCTCACCTCTACGAAGTAGAAACATGGCAGCAGAGTCAGACTGTCCTTTGGAGGTTTCTTCTTCATCTTCTCTGAGGGTGAGGATGTCATCATCATCATCATCATCCTCATCAACCTATACACGGACGCGCACACACACACACACACACAGATTGAAGCATTATTTCCTGATTATGAAAAAACAAACATTTGAGGCTGAATTTGTCAAATCACAACAGAGCTGCAGGAGGGGCGGTTCCACAGACAGTAAAAACATGGGGCACTTTATGTCAGAGGTATTGATGCAGCCAGCAGGCCCGTAAGTCTTAACTGGAGAGAGCCCGCTGAACCTCAACCTTCAGATCCAGACAATCTCGCACATTCCTTCTTCTTATGGTTCCCACGGAAAGAAGCTCCACTACGCTCAGGCAGGAACCATAAGTTTAAATACCAAGGGACTACCATAAAGATCTTTTAAAATGTCTGAATTGCGCTTGCTCAAAAAAAGAGCTGCATTCAGCGGTTTAAAACGAGACAAGTATCAGAGAAACGTCAGGTTCCACTCGCTGTACTCGGGCAGGGATAGCTCAGTAGGTAGAGTGGTGGCCCCATGATTGGAAGGTCGGGGGTTCGACTCCACTGAACGGCTACCCTGAGGTACCCCTGAGCAAGGTACCGTCCCTACACACTGCTCCCCGGGTGCTGCACTGGTGGCTGCCCACTGCTTCACTGGGTGAATGGGTTAAATGCAGAGGAACTATTTCCCTATGGGGACTAACACGCACACTTTACTTTACACTGTACCTGGCCCGGTTGTGCGTGACATACAAAAAAGATGTCCCCACCTTCACTCACCTGATAAAGCTCAGAAGATTTTTTGATCAGAGGTTCAGTAAGGAGTACGACGAGTACGCACATATTCCCATCGTTCATGATAATCAGCCGTACTCAAGATACAGATGCTCCCCTTATTGTTGGATTAATCAACATCCTACATGCAGGTGCATACCAGAAAATCCCCACCTTTGTTGTCTTTGACATGTGTGTGCAAGAGCATGTACAAATTTGTGTGTGTGTGTGTGTATATATATATAGACATAAATGCTCATCTGTTTTATTGCATTGCTCAGCCATCTTATTTTAGTTTCAATCTTCATGTTAATAGTTTCTAACTTGTCACAGAAGGATGGGAGCCTCTCCAGACATAAGTATTAAAAGAATGTCTTACCAGAGGTTTCTGGAAATAATGTTTACTCTGCAGCTTGCCTCTAAAAAAGCGACAAGTTTAGATTTAGTTTACAGAAGCGCTGAATGATGTTTCGTGCTTTATCCCAATGATCGTTCTTATTAATATTTTCACCTTTTGTAACTTTCTCACTCAGTTAGTCATGGCTAAACATGGTGGACAGTATTGATGCTAAAAGGGCTGCTAGGTTTAAATGGGCCTGATAAAAGAGTCGGACTATTCAGTTGCCTTAAATACTTAAAATGTGAGATGGCATTCCTTCAGGAAATCCACCAACTGAATAAAAATGAAGACTTAAAGAAGGATGGGAGGGCAATATATTTCATTCCAATCTTAATTCTAAGACATGTGCGACGGAATAATAAAAAAGATTTAGTTTACTGCGACCACTGTCATCTCAGATCCATACGGAGATCTCATAATTGTTGACGGGCTCCTTCACAACACGTCTAGCGTGGTTCTGGGCCCTATTTCAGGAAGCCGGTTTAGA